TTTAAACAACTCCAGCAGTTCCAAATGACGGCATATAAAATTCATATATAATTGTCTCTTTTTTGTTTAGGGGGTACCCTCTTGATGCCTTGGTAATATTATCTTCCTTTTTATCTTTAAAATAAAGTTAAGATTAGACAGAATGTAGAATACCTGGGAATCCTTCCGCAATATCTTGTCTATTTGACGTGCGAGAGATAATCGTTTCATAACCTCTGGCATGTACGAGTTATCTAAAGGAAATCTCTTAACACTCTCCTGCAAATAGAACCAAGCACATCAAAAGTACCTAAATTAGAAAAAAGAACACGCCCAATTAATTTGATATAATAAGACTGATTTGTCCAAGTAGAAAATGAATTCTAATTCCTAGCAACACTCACTTTTTTTTTGAAATAAAGTTCCTAGCAACCCTCACAATAGTACTCTTACCCTTTTTTGATTTATAACAAAGATAATATATATATACATATATTTATGTATATTATTCAAAAAAATAAATTCCAATGCTACAAAGGATAAATACTCTATTTTAGTGACCTTAGAGAATGATTTGCACAAAGAGGCAAATTTTGAAGTGTCCCTCGATGAAATCAATGCAATGCTACATCCGTCTGAAGAAGCCCTGGCAGTTCTTCCACTTCTGTGAACATAAACCTGACATCAAAGGTTTATCAACATTAACTCCTCCACTTCAAGAAAACTCGGTAAAGCCTCCCATTTTTGACTTACTTCTGCTGAATGTGGAAGCTGATAGTGAATGACACTCCGAACACCAGGAATATCAAGTCCTCTTGCTGCAACATCAGTTGCAACAAGTATCCCATGATCATTTGCACGAAAACGATCAATGGCCTGCAGTAAAACGACAGTCGGAAGGATAAAACTGTTAGGAATTAAAGAAACCAGGAAATAGGTGTATGCTGGCAATTACATAGAAACACTATTTAGTTCGGAGGATGCTTGTTGGGATAACTTATCCGGGTATGAGGGTATCTTCTGGTAAAAGATTACCATTAGTGCAAATAAATCAGACGTCACCATTTTGCAGATCAGGATTCTCGGGCATTCTAATATGTGTTTTTAGTTCAATTGGATATTCTTATGGAAACCTAACAATGTTCATCCTTTTTGGCTACAATAGCTTGAACACAGAAAACTGTAAAATGAACATCATAACACCAGCAATGTACTCGATACAATTTTTATCTTTTTTAAAAGAAGAATCACCATTAAAAGATGAGCATGCAGAAGATTTTAACCTCTAGTTTGGGATCTTACATTTGAAAATAAACTGAAAAGAAGGATAAATCTAAGTTTATTCTTTTTCAATGCTGAACTAAGCGAGGTCATAACCTATTTGTGTCATTTGAGATGTACATGAGAGGGTATTTCAAGTAGAAGAACTAAAATTAAGTGGGAATGGAATATTTTCACTTCATGGTGGGTTTGAAATTTCCATGAATATCATTTTATTACATTACTTCCCTTGAAGTACACAGTCTCATAGTACTAATGACATGTTGGAACAAAGACAAGTTCTAGAGAGATTAAAGAGACAGGATACAGCATGTTATTAGTACACTATGAACTAAGATAATGGTATTTTAAAAACAAGCTCATTTTTAAGAACAGATGCTTAAAGACATCCTACAGTCGGAGCAAAAACAAGCTTTAGAAAGATCAAGGTTGCAATAAACAGACAGGATCCAGCAAAAAATGGCATGAATGCAATGAAATAACCCAACCCAAATGCAAAAAGTATATAGATATTGACAGACTAGGTACTTTTAGAAGAATGAACCTTTAACCGTGCTCGCTGCTGCATCTGGGCATGTAATGTCCAGACATTGATTCCAAGAATACGCAAGATGGCAGAGATATGGCGCAAAGCGGCAATTGATGTACAGAAAATGATTGTTCGTCCTTGTCCATGAACACTCAGAATATAATACAAGTAGGCATTTTTATCTTCTTCCCTGCATCTGCAATCATCAGTCCATCAAAACCAGCATCCTACTGCAATCATGATAGATCAAAACTCCAGCCATAAAGACTCAGGTGCCAGTGCTCCTATGGGTACTAATATCTATCTGCCTAATCATTACTTTTTAGTCTTTAATCTAGTCAATAAGAGTCTATATACTGGGTCCAAATACTTTGCTGTTGGATAAAACACTATAATCTAATGAGCTTATAACAAGGTTAGTTTCTAAAATATATAGCCAAAACAACCTTAACAATTTCTATCTCTTAAAAAAGAATCATTTTTTTTCTAAAAGTTCTGTACTAATTAGTAATACATAATTGTCTAAATGGTAGTTGTATAAAGAAGTTCAAGATCTAGATGTTCAAGAACAGATTGTCCCCATTTTCATTCCTCAATTTCTGAGATAAGAGCCTTCATTATCATCCTCATACTATCATAGTTCACAACTTCTAGTTATGGATCATCAAGTGCCACACATGTACATCTTATCAAACACAAATCTGCAACCCATACTAGCACGTCAATCCTAAATGTGGAACTAAAATTGAAGAGCCTAACATGGACCAGAAATTCTGGATGCTCTATTCGTTATTACTTGCATAATTTGACTTGGAATTCTTATAAAAGTTACTTCTTGTTAAATAATCTTTTATGAGAACTTATTTTAGCATGTTTGGCATCCATAACTTGTTAATGTCAGAAGTTACTTCTGCAGCCCATATAGTATGTAAAGCAACCCTCTTTTAGAAAAAGCTTAATACTGATGCTCTCTGATTGATAAGGGAGACTTACTAGACTATTGGACCTTTTCATTTTACCTAATTGTATGTGAGCTCTTCCACACAATAAGTACCCCCTTGGCACCTTTTTTTAGCCAAAAAAGAGCAAAAAGAAGGAAAATTTACAAAATAGAATCAGTCAAATTGTCTAAAAGGTCTCAAGATCTTCTCATAAATGAAGCAGACGACCTTTGAACAAATATATAAGGCCTGAAACTATCTATCCTGAAACTATTTATCTCTGATCTGAAAGATTAGATACTAGACCATCAAACTCTTCTATTATGTTCTCTCCAGATAGTCCAAAAAATAGAATAGGTGATGAAGAGAATGAAAGCAATCAGCTTCTTCTTGTTCGTGTTAACACCAATACCATTCCAACACAAATTTCTAAGCAATTAGAGCAACCCACAACTCAATTTATGCCCATCAAGCTTATAAATGAGCTTCGTAATCTTCTCCCTTTTGAGCACCATCATCATAAGAGTAGATGGTTGGATTCATTATCATGCAAGAAAAGAGGAACCTATTGGTGACGTGAAAACCTTTTCTTCTCAAGTTGTCCATGATAAGAATCAATCCCAAGTTGGTTCCCATATAAAAAAGGCCTCCTCGGGTGAGGTTTTGTGTTTCCAAACTTGTTTCTGGAAACCTAACAAGGATGAGATCTTGGTTGTTTCAAGGGTGAATAATTTTTTTTTTTGAGATAAAAGTGTATAGTATATACAAGATACCAAAAAAAGAGTACTACCAATTTATATAAAATTTACAATCGTGTTAACGTATCAATGACATTCTAAAAATCCACATCACTAATAATGTCATGACTTAACAAAATAAGCCCAAAATAATGAGTTTCAATGGTAAATAGTGAGAGATTACAAGTTGGTCGTCATCATTATTTTGTGATACATAACATTTATTCAAAGAAGAAAGAAAGCAAATGAGTTCCTCCATTGCCATTGAGATTCCGAGTGAAGGGAATGATCCACACCCCCGCTCCGCAAAAGCAAACATTTGATATCATTGCTTCTACCAAGAGAGAAAATTCAAATCATCCTAGAATATCACTCCGAAGCTATTGCTCGCCTAAAATTAAGTATCCTCCACAAACACAACCCACTCCTTTCTGATACCTTTCCACAAATAAAAACCTTGAGCGATCCTGAAATACTTTTTCATCCATGTACCACATACGAAACCCTACTCAACAAAAATAATTCTCCTCTAAAAACTCCTACCCTCTTTGATAAACCTTTGTAACCATTTGGCATAGAGGACCCCCTATTAAATAAATCAATCCTTTAAACTC